CAGCAAGACCCTATCTCACAAAACTGAGAGTTGGGTGTAGCTCAGTAATAGAGTGCTGGCCTAACACAAAGCCCTGAGTTTGATCCTAGCACCACAAAAAACAAACAACAACAACAAAAAATACAAACTGGGAAATAGACACTGTCATGCTAGCTGATGGGAGTATAAACTGGTACAACCTCTCAAGAAGAAAATATGGCAATGTCTTCCAAGATTACAGCAGCAGCTAACTCTATATCCACTTCTAGGAACTTCACTTTAGATATACTCTCACCAAATGTGAAATGACATAAATAAGAGGTTATTTATTAAAGCATTATTGGCAATAGTAAAAGATTAGAAATACTATAGAAACAAACAAAACTCTTTACATACCTTGATATCCAAAGAGGTGTATGCCATTTGTCTAAAGAAGAAAGTGGATAGCTGTTAACCACATCCTTGACACTCCAGCATCCTGAGAATTACTTACATAATTCCCCCACATAGATGCTGCTCCCTCGTCTCCTCCCCCAACCCAATGCTTACCTTCCTCTTCATCCATATGGACATACTGGATGTACATACACCTATTTCCTTTCATTAAGAACACAAATGGCATACCATATATGGTACTCAGCTCTTTATTTAAATTTTTATGCAAGCCAATTTTGTACTTTGCTTTTTTTCACTCTATGCTTTTGCATAAAAAATTGTCTTAGAGGGGCTGGGAAGGTGGCTCAGAGGTAGAGCACTTGCCTTGCATGCATGAGGCCCTGGGTTCGATTCCTCAGCACCACATAAGCAAAAAGAAAAAAGCCGGAAGTGGTACTGTGGCTCAAGTGGTAGAGCGCTAGCCTTGAGCTGAACTGCTGAGGGACGCGCCCAGGCCCAGAGTTCAGGCCCCACGACCAGACCAAAAAAGAAAAAATGTCTCACAGCCAACTTAGTGGTACAGACCTGTAATCTCAACATTTGGGAGACAAAGGAGGATCTTGAGTTCAAAGCCAGCTTGGGCTACCTAGCAAGACACTATCTCAAAAACAAATAAATTTAAAATAAATGTCTCATTCTATTGTATAGCTATGTACTATTTTATTAAATGAATAAAAAATTACTTAACCAGTCCTTCAGTGATATACATTTCCATTGTCTCATCTGCTAATATTATTAAAATGAAGACTAATACATGAATGTTATTTCACATATCTACAGAATTACATCATTGGCATAAATTCCTTTAAAAACCACAATGGTAATTTGAGGGATGACAGAAGGTAGGTATAATATTGAGACTTTTCACTGTATCCCATTTTCTATCTTTTTAAATTTATACATGTATTACCTATTCAGAAAAAATAAATTGAATGTAGCTGCTAGCTAGACTACTTAAATTTTTTAAATATATTTATCTGACTATATAGTTTACAATGATAGCTAGGTATTTTAAAATCTCTTCCTAATCCTGAAATCAGTATCTCCACACAAAGAAACTAAGAGTAGGGCTGGGAAGGTGGCTCAGTGGTAGAGCGCTTGCCTTGCATGCCAGAGGCCCTGGGTTCGATTCCTCAGCACCACATAAGCAAAAAAGAAAAAAGCCGGAAGTGGCACTGTGGCTGAAGGGGTAGAGCGCTAGCCTTGAGCTGAAGAGCTGAGGGACAGCGCCCAGGCCCAGAGTTCAAGCCCCACGACTGGACCAAAAAACAAAAAACAAAAAGAAAAGAAACTAAGAGTATGTGAACACTAGTTTACATACCACTTGTTACTATCATCATGTCATGAAAAAATAACTTGATTGATCAGGACATGCCCCTCTTAGAACCATCAACATAGGTTCCTTTGTCTATGGTTCTTTTAGTGTGGTTTTTGCTAAAGAAAAGTTTGGGTATAGCGTATGGGTTTGACCTCCAGTACAAAAACTAATACAATAACAAAAACATCAGGTGTAATGTCCAGTTAATGGCTTGCATAAAAACGAAAGAGCTGGGTGCTAGTGGCTCACACCTGTAATCCTAGATGCTCAAGAGGCTGAGATCCAATTAACAGGCAAAAAACCAGACGTAGAGATATGCCTCAAGTGGTAGAATGCCAGTCAGTCTTGAGCAAAAAAAGCTAAAGAACATGTTTTCCTAAATTCTTGGGCTATAGTGAGTAAATATGAAAATGTCTGCCTGCCTTTATAGTTTTCAGGAAGGTAACAGTTGGTCAGAATAGGTCTGCAAAGGATCTTAATTCTACCATGTTTGGTCCAACCAATTTGCTCAGTCATCTTACCCATGTCATTCCTCCATACTGTGTTCTTAAATCTTCCCCTCCAGTAGATAATTCTTGATGTCAATCCAATTTTCCCGTCATGTTCTCAGTGTGAAGGTAATTTCTCCAAAATCTGCCTTTTTTAGACACTGAATTTCAATTCTCTCAAAAACCAGTAGGTATTCTTATAGGCTACTGCATTCTACAAAATCTTGTTTCAACCTAGTTGACCATTGCAATATAGTGGAGTGTACATTTAGCAAGAATGGTCATTTTGTTTTGCTCAGGAGTCTTAAAACCACCAACTCAAATAAACAAACCACAAAAACATTCTAGAAAAGGGATTGGGAGTGTAGATCAAGTGATCAAGCGCATGCCTAAGAAACATGAAGCCACCCTGGGTTCATTGCCCAATATCACAAAATGATAAAGAAATACCCTATAAAAATATTCTGGAAGAATAGGTTCTAATATTTAAAATGTAGCAAACTCTCTCGTTTTCTTGGTGTAATATCCAGGGTTTAACTGCTTGTTTGTTTAGCTGGCACTGGAGCCACATATCCAATCTGGCATCTTGCTGGTTAATTGGGAATGGAGACTCAGACTTTTCTGCCCAGGCCAACTTTGAAGAGATCCTCAGATCTCAGCCTCCTAAATAGCTAGGTTTACGGGCATGAAAATTCTCTTTAGTCTGAGCTAGGAGTCTTATTAGGCCCAGATAAAGGCAACAACTTTGAGTGTCCTAGTAATCTGTGTACACAAGTGTTTCATTGGTATGCTGCTTTCTGCCTTCTTCCAAAGGAGTTAAGAATCTGCTCAGGTTTCTGAAAGCCTCCTTCCTTCTTCTAGCTACATGGTAAGTTTATTTCCTCTAAATTCTAGATTTCAACATTGTAATGTTAAGTTTGTACTAAATAATTTTTACTCTATTTCCTTTTCTTTGTCCACAGTGGGGCTTGAACTCATGTCCTGGGTGCTGGCATCTTGAACTCCTTTTGCTCAAGGCTAGCATACTACCACTTTGAGCCATTGTGCCACTTCCAATTTTTTTAGTGGTGAACTGGAGGTAAGAGTCTCACAGGGACTTTTCTTTGTGGGTGTGGACTGGCTTCAAATCCCAATCATCAAATCTCAGCCTCCAGAGTAGCTAGGATTATAAGCATGAGCCACCAGTGCCCAGCTATTTCTATTTTTTTAATGGCAGATTTTCTTAAATCCTATCAAGTCCAGAAATGCAAGTTTTTGTTGTAACAAATTTTTAAGCTCCTAAATGCAGATCTAACCAATAATTTTTACAGAATCAACTGGTTGTAGGTTCACAAATATTACTTGGTCATTCATTGTGATGGTAGTGTGGATTTTTACAGTGGTCTATATAGTCTTAGGACCACATGACTGTTAATGTAGCCTATTTAAGTGCCACATCTAAATAAGTGCTCTAAAATTTTGTCATTTAAAAATATTTTCTTGAGAGCCAGGCACTGGTGGCTCATGCCTATAATCCTAGCTATTCAGGAGGCTGAGATCTGAGGATCACAGTTCAAAGCCAGTCTGGGCAGGAAAGTCCATGAGACTCTAATCTCCAATAAAACCACCAGAAAATTGGAAGTGGCGCTGTGGGTCAAGTGGTAGAGTACTTGCTTTGAGCTGAAGATTTCAGGGACAGTGCCGAGTCCCAGGGTTCAAGCCGCGTGACCGACAAAAAAATAAATAAATTTAAAAAAAAATAAAATTAAAGGAATTTCTAGGTTTGGCAAATAAATATATATCTAAGAGACACACATAGTATAAGACATACTTATATTAAAAACATTAACACACTAACATTTGTTTAACCTAAATTCAAATTTAATTGGATACTCTGCATTTCACCGGGTGACCTTTAGTTAAAAAACAAACAGTACCGGGGCTGGGAAGGTGGCTCAGAGGTAGAGTGCTTGCCTTGCATGCCTGAGGCCCTGGGTTCGATTCCTCAGCACCACATAAGCAAAAAGAAAAAAGCCGGAAGTGGCGCTGTGGCTCAAGTGGTAGAGCACTAGCCTTGAGCTGAAGAGCTGAGGGACAGCGCCCAGGCCCAGAGTTCAAGCCCCACAACCGGACCAAAAAAAAAAAAAACAAACAAACAGTACCATGTATTAGCTATAGTAAAAAAGAGAAAAAAATCACTTTCTACTATCCATGAGACATTTTATACCGTAAGGCAAGGGAAGCAACATATCCTCAAAGGATTTGGTTGTTAAAAGGCTACAGAATCTTGAAATGTGTATTATAGACAGTCATTCAGGTTTTCAGTGAGTCTGGTCTAATTTTCTAGGGGGTACACTTTGTTTTATGCATACTAGCATATCACAAGTATAACAATAAATATGTCTGTCCTATCATATGGAGAATGGCAAAAGGATACATAGAAAATAAGGATAAGTTGATAGCACATTCTAGAAGGATATGGCTCAAGTGACAAGGATATGGCTCAGGCACAAGGCCCTGTGCTTAAACCTCAGTGCTGCTAAATCAATAAATAAATAAGATGAAGCCGGGTGCTGGTGGTCACACATGGCATGTAATCCTAGCTACTCAAGAAGCTGAGATCTAAGGATCACAGTTCAAAGCCAGCCTGAGCAGAAAGGCTGTGAGACTCACCTCCAATTAACCACCAGAAAATTGGAAGTAGAGTAGTAGAGTACTAACCTTGAGTAAAAAGGTTCAGGGACAGGCCCTGAATTCAAGCCCCATAACAGACCAAAAAAAAAAAAAAAGTGGGATGAAATGAGCCAGTTATGATGGTATATACCTGTTAATTCCTCAGAAAGTTGAGGCAAGATGATCTCAAGTTTGAAGTAGTTAGTCCACCTACAGGATGAAATGAGCCAAGTGTGATGGTGTATGCCTATAATCCCTCAGAAGGCTGAGGCAAGATCTCAAGTTTGAGTCAGCCCACCTACACAGCAAGACAGTGGCTTAAAAACAAAAATTAATTTGCTTTACTTGATTATTCATTCTGGCCTGGTAACTGGTATTGAAGCTACCCAATCCAAAACACAGTAAGGACTTTCTTTTAAATGAGGTTTTATACATAGGTATACACATATGTACACGCAGTTCTGAAGGCCAAAGAAGTAACTCCAAATTCTGGACTCTAAGAAGTTCTACAGATATTCACTGGATTTCAACCAAGTTCTACAGATATTCACTGGATTTTAACAATGATTAACTTTAAGCTTGGCCTTAGGATGGTATTAAGGGGATAAGGAGGAATTTAGGCCAAGGTAAAAAAGCTTCACATTCTGAAAATAATAGTGGCAAAACACAACACTCGGGGATCAAGGAAAATAAAATTGAGAGAAGGACATGATTAGAAGGAAACTTGTAGAATTCTGCTAATCCAAGATTCTTCACATAGTAAGACTGGTGACAAGCTAAAGGTCACTTGTCAATGCATCAAAGTTTGATAGAGAATGACGACCCACAGGAGCAGCCTTGCTGAGCTTGAGGATTGTTCAAAACTTGAAATGAGCTTCGGATCAGTTCTTGGCTGAAGTCCACCAGAGCCCCTTTCACGAAGGCCATGCTATCAGAGTCAACCACCACTTTTGCCCCACCCTGTTCAAATACCCTGAAAAGACAGAAGGGCAAGCAGTAGTGAATATCTCAAACGCCAAAAAATATGCCACTCTATTGAAACCAGAGATGCACTTCTGTTTTTTCTAAAGTACAGAGGGGAGTGGAACATTCCTTATGACCTCTAACAGGTGCTGTTTTCTGAAACCAAAGGATTCAATGGAATGGATGAATATGGGAAGATATTTAGAGACTTGGGCCTCAATCCAATCCAGCCTGACTCTCATCTGACTACCTTATGGACCTACGCAGGCCAAATGTCCTCCAGGATTAAAAGAATAACCTCGTTATTTTTTAAAATCAAGATGACAAATCTCCACCATCCTCTCACAGTGGGAGAAAGGGGGTGTTTTAATCATCCTTCACACCTTAAACTGGAGTCGCTTTTTATCCCTCCAGTACATCCTCTGGGACCCAACCCTTCCTCCACCTCTTTCTCCTTGCCTGTCGTCGGGGTTAATAACTGTATCCAGTGAAAATTTGTATTGGAATCCGGAGCATCCACCTCCCTCCACTTGCAGCCTTAGGAATTCTGACCCTTCGGTGATTTCCAGAAGCCTCTGAAACGCAGGTAGGGAAAATCAGGGAAGTGAAGCAAGAGCTGGTGAGAGGTGGGTGACAAGGAGGTCTCCCGGCCCTCGGGTCGGATCTCCTACCCGGACGCAGCTGTCCGTGAGGCGGATTTGCTCTTCGCCGGCCTCGGAGTTGGAGGACGATGCATCCCAGCGCCTCTGAAGTCCAGGACAGATCAGAAGGATTCTGCCGTCAAAGAGAGGAGGGTAGGCCGGGGAATAGGAGAACCTGGGACCCGAGGCCCGCCCCCCTCCTTGATCGCCTCAGGCCTGGGGACCCTCACCGGGATTGTCCCACGCCAAACCCTGACCACCCTCGTGGGCCGTAGCTTCTCATTTGTTCTGGGGGCGCAGGGTCTAACACCATTTCAGGATGTCCTCCCAACCTTGGTACCTGCTCCTCCGCCAGGGAATGACCGCTCGGAGCGCCGCGGCCGCTATCGGTGAGGCCCAGGAGGCCGCCATCTTTCTCCACAAACTCCGCCCTTCGCTTCGCCCACAGGACGCGGGAGCGATGCGAGGGGCGTGTCTCTGATAGGCCACGCCTCCGAGCATACCTATTGGGTAGTACAAGTTGAGATGGCATCTGATTGGCTAGAAATGCTCCCGCTTACGGAAGTGGGGCCGTACTAATAGAACTAGGGCGGAGCCCTGAGGACAAGAAAGGGAAGAGCTGAGCTGGACAGCCTCAAGCCGAGCCAGTGAGGGGACAAAATGGGCGGGGATTGGAGGCTGGCTTCGGAGCCAGCTCCCCGGAGCGAAGAGCTGGGCACGGAGGGACCACCCCGGACGTAGCTGATGACAGGTCACCTGACTGGGCTCCTCCCTCGGCCCGCCCCGACAAGTTTATCTTGTGACTGCCGCCACTGCTTCTTCCTTCCTGGAGCTTGGAGCCTCCTAATCCGCGATGCGTTTCCTGGCGGTTGCGTTCCTGTTCCAGGCGTTCATCGCCTCCGCCCTGGCCGAACGCGTGCAGTTCAAGGATTGTGGTGAGCCCCGGACCCGCCCGAGGTCCCCGCGCAGTCAGTGGGAGCTCTCCCCAGCGGCCTGCGCTGAGACCCCCGGGCTGGGTTGGGCCGGTTCCTCCTTGGACCCCGGGCGGAGTGGGTTGGTTTTGGTGAGAAGGAGTAGGCCTGGTGAGACTTGACCGAGCACAACTTTGTCTCTTTCCTTGCAACGCGTGTTTTGGGGTTACTTCTACACTGCAGGGGTGAATCTTCTGTTCAAGCTTTCTAGAGTTTGTAAACATCAAGCTGGGGTGTGGTAGTAGTGTACATCCATAGTCCCAGCACTCTGGAGGTGGAGGTAGGAGGATCATGAGTAAGTATAGGCAGCCATCCGAAGATTTGTATGCGATGCAGGGTTTATTAAGGGAAGGGACACAAAACTTTTTTGAGGATGTGGGGATGCTACTAGAACTACATTGTATCTTGTTTAAATAATCCCCCCATCTACACGTACACCAGACTTTTTGTTTTGTTTTGGCCCGTCCTGGAACTTAAACTCTGGGCCTGGGCTCTGTCCCTGAGCCTCTTTGTGCTCAAGGCTAGCACTCTACCACTTGAGCCACCGCGCCTCTTCTGGCTTCTTCTGGGTAGTTCATTGGAGATAAGAGTCTCCTGCCCAGGCTGGCTTCTAACTGAAATCCTCAGATCTCAGTCTCCTGAGTAGCTAGGATTACAAGCAGGAGCCACCGGTGCCCGGTGGCACATCTTGTTTTTGTTTTTTTGTTTCTTTTTCGGACAACTAAAAGTCAACTCTCCTATTCACAATTTATTCTGTTGCAAAAAAGGGCTTTATTTGGGTTAATTTTTTTTTTTTCTGGCCCAAGGGCTTAAACTGAAAGCATGGGTACCGTCTATGAGCTTGTGTACTTAATACTGGGGCTCTATCACTTGAGCCACAGCTCCACATCTGACTTTTTGTGGTTGATTGGAGATTAGAGTCTCACAGACCTTTCTGTCCCGGCTGTCTGCAAACCTCGATCCTCATCCTCCTAATTAGCTAGGATTACAGGCATGAGCCACCAGTACTTGGTGAATTTGTGATTCTTAATCCAGTCTTCCTTCTATAAAACCACTTTTTTTCTTTTGCCAGTCCTAGGGCTTGAACTCTGGGCCTAGGCACTGTTCCTGAACTGCTTTTTTTTTTTTGTCGGTCATGGGGCTTGAACTCTGGGCCTGGGCACTGCCCCTGCACTCTTCAGCTCATGGCGAGTGCTCTACCACTTGACCCACAGTGCCACTTCTGGTTTTCTAGTGGTTTATTGGAGATAAGAGTCTGGATTTTTCTGCCCGGGCTGGCTTTGAACCATGATCCTCAGATCTCAGCCTCCTGAGTGCTAGGATTACAGGCATGAGCCACCAGCGCCCGGCTCTGAGCTGCTTTTTGCTCGGCTGGTGCTCTACCACTTGAGCCACAGCACCATTTCCTGCTCTTTGTGTAGTTTATTGGAGATAAAAGTCTCACAGACTTTCCTGCCTGGGCTGGCTTCAAACCTTGATCCTCAGATCTCGGCCTCCTGAAAAGCTAGGATTATATGCATGAGCCACTGGTGCCCAGCTTAAAACCACAGTTCTAATCATATCTTGTAACTGCTAACCCCTCCCAATGGTGTGGTTGGAATCTTTGTTGGAAAATACAGTAACAAATAGAAATTCTGAGTTCCTGTACTCAAATCTACAAAATTAATTTTGGGGACAAAGCTGGAATATTTATGTGCAGTGATCATTGAAAGTTGAAATTGATTTTGTAAAATTTGAGCAGGAAGGCTGGATGCTGGTGGGCACTGGTGGCTCAATGTCGGTAATCCTAGCTACTCGTGAGGCTGAGATCTGTGGATCAAGGTTTGAAGCCAACTCAGGCATGAAAAGCCCATGAGACTCTTATCTCTAAGTACCAAAAAAGCCAGAAATGGAGCTGTGGCTCACATGGTAGAGTGCTAGTCTTGAGCACACAAGCTCAGAAATGGCACCCAGATCCTCAGATCAAGCCCCAGGACTGGCATACACACAACGAAATTGTCTTGAGCAGAAAGGAAGCATGGTGATCACATGACTATATGAATCATTGTATCCCAGAAGTAGACTGGACGGTCAGACTGTTTCTTCCCTTATATCCAGTGCCCAGAAAATAGTAAGTGCTGAATAAACACTTGCTTAAAACAAAATGAAGGGAATACTGCATTTTTTCCCCACTATGTCTTCAAAACTGATATTGAGGCAAAGGTATGAAATGTGATTGGCTAAGGAATAAAGACTGCTGGACTATGAATACTTAACACATGCAGTCACAGCTTACTTAGAGTGCAGGGCCTTGAGTTCAAGCCCTGGTACTGGTACACACACACCAAAAAAAGATGCTATTTCACTAAACTAGGAGACTGGCACTTGAAAAATTCCTTCCATTAAACATATGGCCAGCATTTAAATGAAGAGATGCTGATTTCAAATGAGAAGGAAAGTGAAAACGGAATAATTTAAGATCTCACAGCTGGGATGCAGTAAGAAACTGGCAGGTATTTATGAACCACTCTATTTCGATGATAATTTTTTTAATGAACTGAAACAAATAGAAATTGTTCATTTCAGAGCAAAAAAAAAAAAAGCAAGTGTACATAGACAGAACTTTTTTAAAGGGAGGGTTCCCATCACAGATTTTGTTTACTTTTGAATTGGGAAATACAATGTAAAAACTTGAGCACCCAGATCAAAGATTTTGTATTCCACTTGACACCCACCCACCTCACCTCCTGAGGAAGGATTTTCTCAAGTGAGAATTAGACAAACTAGTTTTGCAATATTTGCAAGTTAGGAATGAGGAGTATGATACACTGACATTGGAAGTCCAAGAAACTCTTCGGCAAAGAACTGGAGGAAAGAGCTGGTTACTCCTCATTGTTTTTTGCTAGATATGGAAAGGTTTTCCATGAGCACTAATTTTTGCCCCAATTTTACCTGCCCATAGAAAATGGACAGCACTTCTGAAACTTTCAGGTGCTGAGAGCGATGAAGAAGCTTGCTGGGAGATGAAGACAGCAACAGGTTATTTACAGATTGAGCTAGAGCAATGGGTCCCTGTAATGAAAGAGGTAGTTGAATACACAACTCTTCTACCCAAGGGCAGACACACCGAGAGAAATCTAAGTGCATCTACTTGAGCTTGCGTTCAGTACTTACAGTACTCAGCTAACCTGGTAACTAACAAGTACTCTTGATGTGCATTTTGCTTGTTGTCTCTCTACATTTGACCTGAGACAGTAAGAATCCATTCTGTTGTCTACAAATATCACCTGTCCCTGAAGGTATATCTGAGGTTAGGACTCAATTTTGGTGTCTGGAGACTTGTTGACCAAATCAGGCACAACTGTTCTAAATTAAATTAATGAGCTGAATCCAGAATCTTGGAGTACACTTACGAGAGCACCACTGTGTTCCAGATACTTAGATTATATCTGAGAACTGGGTGTGTGGAAGTTAGCTCATCTACCCTAAAGGCAGGTACTGACCAGATGCTAAATATCTTGCCTTGAGGCTACACCTTAGCCAGTGGAATCTGTAGCTGTCCTGGGTGTTTCCCTCACCTTGGAATCTGAAAGGGTGTACTTAATTTACCACAGAAAGACTTTGTTACCATGATGACCTTTCATTGTCTCCCAATCACCTGGCCAAGGTCAGAGGCCTGGATGGGAAAACAGGGATTTTTCAAGATTGGTACTTAAATACCATTATTATTTTTTCTTTTTTGGTCAAGCATTTATTATGAACAATGAGTACATTTACCCTTTATTAGAATGAAATTTTTTTTAAAGGCTCCCAACCTTGACACTTATGTTAACAAACATATGTTTCCAACCCTGAGTATACATCTGCCTATTGTAGAAGAGCAATTAAAATTGTTCTCATTGGTAGAGGCATATTGTAAAAGTTTAGAGATGGCTGGGTGCTAGTGGCTCACACTTGTAATCCTAGCTACTCAGGAGGCTGAAATCTGGGAATCACAGTTCAAAGCCACCCTGGGCAGGAAAGTCTGGGAGACTGTTACCTCCAATTAATCACTAAAAAGCCAGAAGTGGTAGAGTGCCTGCTTTGACCACAAAACAGCCCAAACAGCTCAGGAATAGCACTCAGGCCCTGAGGTCAAGCCCCAGTAATCCCCCCCCCCACACACACACAGTTTAGAAAGATCATTGATTTGGAGAGACATCAGAACATGATTAAAACATGGGTGGGAACATACTGGGAACAGCTAGTCTTGAGATTGCAAATGAAAATAGTAGTTTCCTGACTGGGTTATCACAGGTGCCACATTTGATGCTCTCAAATCCTGTGCTGGTGTTTTCTAACTGAGCTTTCCTGAGACAGACCTAGAACAGAGAACCATCTATATACACTGGACTGTTTCCTGCTCCCCTTTTATATATCAAAAATAGACTGTATCTCCTTTTAGAGAGAGTTGGCTCCGAGATTTAGAGTGTCTAGTTGTTGTTCTTCAGTGCTTTCTTCTCTTTTATTAGTTGTCTAAAACTAAACCTAATTTATGAATCAGTTTTCAAAATGGCATAAAAGCAACACTGGAAGGTCTGATTCATTTTATTTCTGACTTTCTACATCTGATCCTTATTTTTTACACATATGTAGTATTTCCATGCATATTTTCTCCAGAAGCTGTATAGACCTACATCATTTATTTCAGAGGAAAAGAAATCCAGACTCAGGTGCCAACAGTCGTTAACTAGTACCAGTTGACACACTTCTAGTTCTTGCCTCTTGGCTGTGTTAGTTAGCCCTATTTGGAATAAAATTCAACTTGAGCCCAAAGGTTTTTTAGTTGGTTTTGTTCTGAGTCTCACTATGTAGTTAGAAATCATCTCAGACTCTTGTCTCAGTCACCCAAATACTGGTTGTACCACCATACTTGGTTGGGGCAATTTTATTGAAACTATGAAGACCTCTGTCTTCATCTCTTTTGTTTCTGGGGAAAATTGAGGTCCTAATGTCTTAGTTAGCAGTTTTAGTTCTGTTTGTTTTTGGTACTAAAATATTTCATGACTCATCAATGGGCCTCTTAGATTTCTTCCCTAGGAGAACATGACTGAGAAGTCAGGAGGGCGGTAGAGAGGGTACAGTTCCCCACTCAGAAATAGAAGTAGCTCTTCTCTCAAGAGTTGTTCCTCCTTCAGATGGTGGTACTTCCTCTGTTCCAGGTCATTCTTATGACAGTGAAAACTGTGGTTCTTCAAGTCCATATTCCTCTTATTCACGAATGGGTTTGAATGCATTTACTGTGTTTGTCCATACCTTCAGTAGTACTGCCTATTTCTTTAGGAAGCCAGACTGAGTAAAAGAATGAGATTTTGCCAAGTGCTGGTGGTTCATGCATGTAATCCTAGCTACTCAAGGAGCCAGAGATCTGGGGATCTTGATTCAAAGCCAGTCCAAACAGGAAAGTCCATGAGATTCTTATTTCCAAAAAAAGCCAGAAGTGGATCTGTGGCTCAAGAGGTAGAACAGTAGCTTTAAGCACAGAAGCTCAGGGATAGCACCCAGGCCCAGCCAAAAATAAATAATAAAAGAATAGAGATTTCAAGAAGATACAATACTGGACAAGGAAAGTGAAAAATCTAAACCAAAGATACTTCACTGATGATCACAAAGGATATGGGAGTTGAACCTCTAAGATAAAAGAACCATTGTAAGAGACAAAGAAATCATGTTGAATCAAAAAAAACTGCCAAGTGTTTTTAGTTGAAAGTGAGCCTGGATCTTCTGAGTAAACAGTTCTCAAGAATTTCTTGGAGTCTGCGTTCCTATGAATGGTTATTTTGTTTTGTTTTGTTTTTTGGGTCCAGTTGTGGGGCCTGAACTCTGGGCCTGGGCGCTGTCCCTCAGCTCTTCAGCTCAAGGCCTGCACTCTACCACTTGAGCCACAGCGCCACTTCCAGCTTTTGACTCCTAAATCTGCCCTTTCCAGACACGATGACCCTGGATAAATCACAGTAGTCGGTCACTGGTGGCTCACACTTATAATCCTAGCTACTCAGGAGGCTGAGATCTGAGGATGTGGTTCAAAGCCAGCCCGGGCAGAGAAGGCCGTGAGACTCTTATCTCCCATAAACCACTCAAAAACTGGAAGTGGCACTGTGGCTCAAGCGGTAGAGTGCTAGTCTTGAGCTGAAGAGTACAGGGACAGCGCCTAAGCCCAGAGTTCAAGCCCCACTACTGACAAAAAATAAATAAGTGTATGTGTGTGTGTAGATTGGTTTTTTCCCCCCTGCTACCCAGGGTATAGTTTCCTAAGGGTCTAAAACTGAGTGACTGGGAGCTAAGAATGTCTGGAGCCATGAACTCTTAAGTAAGTTCTATTGGCCCCAGTGATATGTCTTTCCTCCCATTCTAATTCATTTTTTTTCCTTTTTTTTTCAGGTTCTGTGGTGGGAGTTATAAAGGAAATAAATGTGAGCCCATGTCCCACTCAGCCCTGCCAGCTAGACAAAGGACAGTCCTACAGTGTCAATGTCACCTTCACCAGCAGTGAGTAAATGTGGTTCTCACCCTCCATTTCTGTTAAATCAAAATAAAATGTCAAGTGTTGGAATGAGCATGGGGTGGGAGGTTTGGCAGTCGGGAATTCAGGAATTTCTAACTTGTACAAAGATAGAATTCAATGTGCCCTCATATTTTATATCTTCTCTCAGAATCCATGGCTGCCAGACTTCCTTTAAGCAAGCAGAATGCCAGGTGTCCTGGCACATGACTATTATTCCAGCTCTTGGCCAAAAGGTCAAGAGTTCAAGGCCAGCCTAGGCTACTTAGTAAAATGTTGTCTTCACAAAAAGAGAGAGGGAGAGAGAGAGGAGTAAAAAAGAAAAATCAAGAGTTAGACTACATAGATTAGCGATCTGTGAAATACGTAGCATGTATGAGTCCCTGGTTTAAACTTTAAAAAATTTTTTTGTCAGTCATGGGGCTTGAACTCTGGGCCTGGGTACTAGCCCTCTGCTCTTCAGCTCAAGGTTAGCACTTTACCACTTGAGCCACAGTGCCACTTCTGGTTTTCTGAATGGTTTTTTGGAGATAAGAGTCTCAGACTTTCCTGCCTTGGCTGGCTTTGAACTGTGATCCTCAGATCTCAGCCTCCTGAATAGCTAGGATTACAGGTGTGAGCCACTGGTGCCCGGCATAAAATTTGGAACACTTACAAAGTACTATCTCAAGCTATCTACCTTTCTACCACTAAATCTACATATGCCTAAGGATGAAAGTGCAATTAATAGATATCAGCTACCTTAAGGCTTAGGGAACCCATTAGGAACCCAAGAAAGAATCAGATCTCTGATTGTCTTTAATTCTGGCACCTAGGAGGCTGAGACAGAGAATTTCAAGTTTCAGCCTGAACTATGTAGTGAAAAGACCGGGGGAAAAAAAACACTTTATTTCTGGACAAAACTTCCACCTTAAATCCTTCCCTTGCTTTCTATGTTGTGGAACTAGACTAATCTAAGAAGAAACCTCACAGTTCTTGTCATCAATTGCTCATAAGTCTTAAAAGTACAAGCTGCCTGTTTTGCTTTATTTTTTCCTGTACTATATCCTGGCCTCCTGGCTCTCCTCCTCCCTAGTTCTGGGGCTTGAACTCAGGGTCTGGGCACACTGTCCCTGAGCTTCTTTAACTCAAAACTAGCACTTTACCACTTGAGCCACAAGCACCACTTCCGGCCTTTTCTGCATATGTGGTACTGAGGAATTGCACCTAGGACTTCATGCATGCTAGGCAAACATTCTACCACTAAGCCACATTCCCAATCCCACCTCCTGACTCTTAACAGTACAGAATTCTGGTTCTCCTAATTTTAAAGTACTTTTATATTCCTCCTGCCCATCTTGAAATATGGTAGAAGTTACTAAGAAATGGATTCTTCTTAGTCCTACACAGCACCTAAAGGGTTACCTCTCAGTTGTCATAGACCTTGTTTTTATTTTTATTTATTTATTTATTTTTTTTGGGTCCGGTTGTGGGGCCTGAACTCTGGGCCTGGGTGCTGTCCCTCAGCTCTTCAGCTCAAGGCTAGCGCTCTACCACTTGAGCCACAGCGCCACTTCCGGCTTTTTTCTTTTTGCTTATGTGGTACTGGGGAATCGAACCCAGGGCCTCATGCATTGCAAGGCAAGCGCTCTACCACTGAGCCACCTTCCCAGCCTAGACCTTGTTTTTAAAACACACACACAAAAAACTGTGTGGCAGTTTTTTGACTGTAGCATGACTCAGGTTGTTATAGCACATTCCTAACCTGTGGATTCAGTCCCCAGTATCATAAATAAATAAAACTATTGTTTGATAGAAACTAATATAAATAGTTAACAGAAAGTTCTCTGACAAAAATTGGTGGCCTAGTTAAATAAAGGTTATTTGTTCATGTAGCTCTGATTCTCAAAAAAAAAAAAAAACTGGGGCTGGGAAGGTGGCTCAGTGGTAGAGCGCTTGCCTTGCATGCATGAGGCCTTGGGTTCGATTCCTCAGCAGTACAAAAGAAAAAGCCGGAAGTGGCGCTGTGGCTCAAGTGGTAGAGCGCTAGCCTTGAGCTGAAGAGCTGAGGGACAGTGCCCAGGCCCAGAGTTCAGGCCTTACAACTGGACCAAAAAAAAAAAAAAAACAACTATAAAAGACAGTAGAGAGTAAGGGAATGAGGAACAAAGAAAACAGATTGCCTGTACCATGCTAAGTATTAAGCCTAACTGATAGGTAAATCCTAGGAATTGAGAAGTACAGGCTTTGTGATTTACAGTATAGCTATGCTGGTGCTTAAGAATATACCTAATACTGGAGAATACATCCATTTATTGTAATGGCATACTTGTTTAGAGTATGCAGATATATCATTTCATTCTCTATTTTCTTATTTTTTTTTTTGTCGGTCGTGGGGCTTGAACTCTGGGCCTGGGCGCTGTCCCTCAGCTCTTCAGCTCAAGGCTAGCGCTCTACCACTTGAGCTACAGCGCCACTTCCGGTTTTCTGGTGGTTTATTGGAGATAAGAGTCTCTCGGTCTCTCCTGCCCAGGCTGGCTTTGAACCGCGATCCTCAGATCTCAGCCTCCTGAGTAGCTAGGATTACAGGCGTGAGCCACCAGCGCCCGGCTTCATTCTCTATTTTCTTCTTAGATACTCAGTCTAAAAACAGCACAGCCTTGGTGCGTGGCATCCTGTTTGGTGTCCCTGTCCCCTTTCCCATTCCTGAGGCTGATGGTTGTAAGAGTGGAATCAGCTGCCCCATCCAGAAATACAAGACATACAGCTACCTGAATAAACTGCCAGTGAAGAATGAATACCCCTCGGTAAGTGACAGCTTGAGGGCACTGGATGCCTTGGGGCTGAATTAAAAACCTGAGGGCAGGATGTGGGAAGCCAAAGGGTAAAGGGCCTTTTCTTTCTAGTGAAGCACCAAAATCCTGAGGGGGAAGAGGTAGGATTGCACACTAAGAATTAAGCCGGGCACTGGTGGCTCACGCCTGTAATCCTAGCTACTCAAGAGGCTAAGATCTGAAGATCGTGGTTCAAAGCCAGCCCGGGCAGGAAAGTCTGTGAGACTCTTATCTCCAATAAACTATTAGAAAACCAGAGGCGCTGTGGCTCAAGTGGTAGAGCACTGGCCTTGAGCTGAAGAGCTGAGGAACAGTGAGTGCCGAGGCCCAGAGTTCAAGCCCCATGACCGACCAAATAAAAAAAAAATTAAGAAGTAGGGCAGACATTTTTTTTTTTTGGCAGGGGGTGTCCAGTCGTGGGGCCTGAACTCTTGGTCTGGGTGCTGTCCCTCAGCTCTTCAGCTTATGTGGTGCTGAGGAATCAAACCCAGAGCCATAAGCATGCAAGGCGAGCGCTCTACCACTGAGCCACCTTCCCAGCCCATGGGCAGACATTTTTCATTATGTGCCTTTGTTCTTTCACTAGAGCCTGGTGCTGTGTTTCATATACATTTCACGTGATCCTTATGCCCTCCACATATAGAAGTGATATTACCTCTGTTTTACAGATGAAGAAATTTGAACTTCTTGATTTTACTCCATCAATAATTGTGGCAGCCTTTCAGGGCATTGGTATCTCATACCTATAATCCTAGCTACTCAGGAGGCTGAGATCTGAGGATTGTGGTTCAAAGCCAGCCCGGGCAGGAAAGTCTGTGAGACTCTTATCTCTATTTAACTGTCAGAAGATCAGAAGTGGTGCTGTGGCTCAAGGTGGTAGAGCACTAGCCTTGAGCAAAAGAGCTCAAGGTCAGCACCCAGGCCCCACAACTGTCAAAAAAAAAAATAAGAAGAGAAAAAAAAATTATGTACTTACTTTTTTTTCCCAAAAATAGCTTCATTTATTTTTAATTTCATTTTATTTTTGGTCAGTTGTGGGGCTTGAACTTAGGGCCTCGGCACTGTCCCTGAGCCTTTTTACTCAAAGCTAGCACTCTACTACTTTGAGCCACAGTACCACTTCTGGTTTTCTGGTGGCTAATTGGAGCCTCATGAAGCTGGGCGCGGGTGGCTCACACCTGAAGAGACTGAAAACTCGAAGTGGCACTGTGGCCCAAGTGTTAGAGTGCTAGCTTTGAGCTGAAGAGCTCAGGGACAGCACCCAAGTCCAGAGTTCAAGCCCCATGAGTAACAAAAAATAAAGTATCAAGGACTTTTCTGCCTGGGCTGGTTTCAAACCATAATCCTTAGATCTCAGCCTCCTAAGTAGCTAGGATTATAGGCATCAGCCAACAGTGCCCCAGCTTCATAGGTTTTCTAGTGGTTTATTGGAGATAAGAGTTTCCTGGACTGGGCTGGGAAGGTGGCTCAGTGGTAGAGCACTTGCCTTGCATGCATGAGGCCCTGGGTTCGATTCCTCAGCACCACATAAGCAGGAAAAAAAAAGCCGGAAGTGGCATTGTGGCTCAAGTGGTAGAGCGCTAGTCTTGAGCTGAAGAGCTGAGGGACAGCGCCCAGGCCCACAGTTCAGGCCCACTACCGGACCCAAAAAAAAAAAAAAAGAGTTTCCTGGACTTTCCTGCCTGGGCTGGCTTTGAACAGCGATCTTCAGATCTTAGCCTCCTGAGTAGCTAGGATTACAGGCATGAGCCACAGTGTCCAGCTTCATAGTTTTAAATGTAACAAGTTAAGGCAGAGATCTCTGGTGAGCAGAAAATACATGATCAGAAAACAGCTTAAGGAAGTTAACTGACATTATAGTGTTTCAAGGGGATAGTGGTCCTTGCTATTATTCAAACAGTTATAAACTTCTTTGGAACATCTTTTGTGCTTTGACATTTCCATTTATAGATAACAAAAAAGCTTCCTTATACCTAAGGATCTAAATTTTCTACATTCTCCTCATGGTTATAGTTAGAAAAGGCTAGATCAGAGTGATAAATAGGAAAGAAGTGTTTAAATATTAAAACTGCCTGCCTTTGTGTGTGTGGGGGTGTGTGCGCATTACCGCCCGCCCGCGCCCCACCCCCCGCCCTCGTGCTCGCCACATCTTAAGCTCTCTGGTTCTTTTACTCATGGGTTGCATGCTTCAACTTTAGCCAGACCTCCAGCTCTGGTTTTTTGTTTGTTTGTTTTTGCTCTTAATTGGAGATAAGAATCTGATTTGTCTGCTTGGGTTGGTCCCAAATCTCAGTCCTCAGATCTCAGCCTTCTGGTTAGCTAGGAGTGCAGGTGGGAGGCACTGACACACAACTAAATTATTATTCTTGTAAAGCTTTACATGCCATTGATCTAAGGGGGAAAATAATGTTTTAGAAGCCAGGTATGGTAATAACACACCTATAATCCCTGCACTTGGGAGACTGAGATAGGAGGAGCAAGAGTTTGAGGCCAATCTGGGCTACATGGCAGAATTCTGTCTCAAAAAAGAAAAATATATATCTATTTAATAAATTAAGTTACTATGTAGTATTGCTAATACCCAAATCATAGGTATATCTAGGTTCACTCTTCTAAGTTGAAGGCCATAGGCAGTGCGTGTACCTCACACAGGCTTCATGATGACAGAACTGAAAAAGCAGTGTGCAGTTAAGGAGTTTGTTACAATTTATACCAGGATACTTAATTAAACCAATGATGGATTCAGGTCAAGTTCTATTTTCATTTTTTCCCAATGCCTTTTTTTCTTTCTTTAGGTAAAACTGGTGGTGGAGTGGCTACTTCAGGATGAAAAAAACAGAAATTTCTTCTGCTGGAAAATCCCAATAGAGATCAAAAAATAGAGATATATGAAGCCTATATGTCTGTGTAGGGGTAAGAGGACATGAAGGGAGGAGAAATCAGACCTGCTGAACGAGTGCCATAGGATAAAAGGAATCTTGAGACTTCTGTTTTATGTCTCTCGACTTCCAAAAGTATCTTAGACTCTTTATCGTGAGAGCTCAGAATTGTTGTTTTTATAAGGCTCTTGTAAAAGGGTAAAAGAAGAAGAAAGAATGAGACTATGGAATTGGCTTAACTGTCACCATTGTTATTTACTGTTGCATTAAGAAATATCAGATAAGGGCTGGGAATGTGTCTTAGTGGTAGAGTGCTTACCTAGCATGCATGAAGCACTGGGTTCCATTCCTCAGTACCACATAAACAGAAAAAGCCAGAAGTAGCACTGTGGCTCAAGTGGTAGAATGCTAGCCTTGAGCAAAAGAAGCTCAGGGATAGTGCCAAGGCCCTGACTTTAAGCCCCAGAACTGGCAAATAAAAATAAATAAATAAAAGAAATATAATAATATTGATAATTTGACCTAGGTCTGTTCTCTTCCAAACCACCTTTAGGGTTAGCTGGGATGTTGTTTTTATAGGTTCTCGTCTCTTAAGTGCCTCACCAAGTCCAGTGCATCTGGCCAATAAGTTTGCTGACCCTTGACAGCACCTCTAGCCCCATTGCTTCAACAGTAGTGACTTGTTTACCACTGGTATCCAGAGATTCATTGCTGAGGGCAGAATTTCAGCTCCTAATGGCTGGTTCTCTGTGGATGTCTTGTGTCTCTTTTTGTTAGGTGGTTTTCATGAAAGGCAACTTGGTTAGCAGATGTTTGATTTTTTTTTTTTTAAACAATATTAACTTGTATCCTCTCTCTGCCCTTGGAAATGAACCTCTGAATAAATAAAAACTTGTCCGTTTTTCTTTCTGCATTTGAACTGTGGTTAACTGCTTATTTCAGATGGTATGTTCTCCTAGACTCCTGTCAGGCAGTCACCCGATCTCATGTCTCCAAAGAAGACATAATTTTCAGAAGTTCCCTTTTGCCTAGTTAGACCTTATCTATCTATTCATGCAATGTGATCTTATTTTGCTTTATTTTGTACAGTCTTAACCAAGCATGCTTGAAAGAAGCAGAGAAAATAAGCATTACACATCACGTAGTGAAAAATAGAACAGCTGAGCGGGAGAAGTATCATGATCTGGGGAACTATATGTTGTCATGGCAGGAAGTCCAAGAGCTTAAAGAGGGGAAAAAAATGTGAAGTAGCAATTACTTGTTCAATGAGTTAAAACTTGAATTTTCCTACTCGTAAAATAACAAAAACTCATGCAACACATGGTTTGCTATTTTTGTTTGTCAGTCATGGGGCTTGAACCCAGGGCCTGGGCACTGTCCCTAAACTTTTGTTCAGGGCTAGCACTCCACCACTTTGAGCCAAGCTCTACTTCATTTTCTGGTGGTTAATCAGAGGTTAAGAGTCTCAAGGATATTCAAACCACAATTCTTAGATCTCAGCCTCCTGAGTAGCTTAGGATTACAGGTGTAAGCCACCATCGCCAGCCTGATTTGTTGTTTTGATAGGACTGTCAGTCAGCTTCTAGGTAGCCCAGAAGTTATATAAATGAGTTGAGAAGGTTGAGGGCAAAAGAAGGGATTTATTCTGTATATGAACAAATAATTTAGCCCATTTCTCATGCCAATAATTTTATCTGATGCATGGTTTTTTTCTTTTTGTTGTTTTGTCTTAGTATTTTGTGGCTAGGGTGTTAACTTGGAGCCTAGAACTCACTACAAGTAGCCTACTTTAAACCTGTCATCCCCCTGCCTCTTTCCTGGGACTACAGGTGTTCTACCAGGCCCTGCTCCTTGGATTTCTTTAGCCTGTGAAATTTGCAGGAAAACCACCAGAGGACAGCAATGGGTTAGGAATGAGGTTACCAACAAGCAAGCTCTGCTAGTTAGTGCTGGCAGCCACCCTACCACTGTACTATTTAGCTAAGATCTTTTATATATCCTGTCCCATTTAACCCACTCTGTGTCCCCATGAACACCCTCCATATATCAGAATTATGTAAATTTCATACTGCCAAGGACTCTGACTTCAAGTTGCCTGGGGTTAAATCCTAGCTGTGCCTCATCTCTTGCTTCAGTTTCCTTATCTGGTAAATAGGGACACTGATAGGAGGGCTGTGGCTATTAAATGAAATGAGGCATGTAAAGTCTTAGATGACCCATGGCATGTAGCACACACTGCTGATGTTAGCTATTGTTCTAGGACACACTGTTCTTTGTCTAGAAATAGCAGGGAAATCAGGAGGCTCAATCTGATGTGTGGTTTTGTGTTTCTTCAGAAAAAACAAGGTTAGCATCTATGTATAGGAACTTTCTGTTCTCATATGTGTTTGCTGGCTTCCTATTCCCAGAGGGTTCGTAGATTTTTTTTTTAGCTCATTTGATAGGCAACTGCTACTATGCCTTTCCCCTTTGCCCTCTTGTGTTAGAAGAAAAAAGCAGCTTAGCTAGTGTATAGTCTTCCTTTAGAACCTAAAGGGAGCCCAGCAGCTTGAGGCTGTTTACCAATCTGCTTCAGAGGCTCTGGAGCCTGCACCTATGAAGGCCTCTGTGAGGGGATTAGTTTGAAAGGTCATCTTCTACAGAAAGTTCACAGCCATTACCATTATGAAGCACCTAATCCTTGGTATACAAAGAGGGCCATCCTTTTTCCAACATCATTCTTGGGCTTTTCTATTCCTCTGAGCATGTCTTAGAGGCTTAGACTCAATTCTTCACTTACATGAACCCAAGGTAGCTAAGTCTCAGATTGGGCGGAGGGGGGTGGGGGGAGGTTGTTTTGTTTTAATACCATTTTACTGTTATTTAAGGTATTGTACAGAGGAGTTACCATTTCATAAGTCAAGTAATGAATACACTTCTTCTTTTTGGACTATGTCACTCCCTTTGCTTTCCCCCCAGTTTCCTCCTCTCATCCCTGCCCACAAGTTGCAACAGTTCATTTTCCACATAGTGTTTACTGAGTATCATACCTGCATTTTGGGGCGGGAGGGAGAGAAAAACCAACAAGCATGGAGTGATTTCAAGACCATGTGTAGCTTTGAAACCTCTTGTTGGTTTATTTATTTTAAGAAACAATGATCTTGATTATTCTTTGCAAGGGCTTATAAAACAGACTGTTTCTGAGAATAGCTCCAGGCATAGAAAAAATGTCTTGAAATGGGCAAGTCCATTCTTTTATACAACATTGTTTATCTGCTTGAAGAATCAACTGAGAGCCTGCCCTTGAGACTGGCCTATAATCCTACCTACTTGAGAGGCTGAGGTCTGAGGACCATCATTTGAAGCCTGAGCAGAAAAGTCTTTGAGACTCATCTCTAATCAACTGGCAAAAAAAAAAGTGGAGGTGTGGCTCAAGTGGTAGAGTGCCATTCTTGAGTGAAAAGGCTCAAAGACAGTACCCAGACCCTGATTTTTAGCCCCAGTACTGGCACAAAAAAAGAAAGAGTGAGAGAGAGAGAGGAAGAAAGGAAAAGAAAAGAAAGAATTGATTGTGAGACCATAAATGGAATGGGCTTATGTGCCTTTTGCTGTTAGTGTTTGAGTTATAGTTTTTGTACATCTTAATGTAAGTGGCTTTTTGACTTTGGAGTTTTACATTTGAAGTGTGCTGTCATCTATTTCGTGTGTGTGTGTGTGTGTGTGTGTGTGTGTGTGTGTGTGTGTGTGTGTGTGTGTCCTTACATTTGAAGTGTGCTGTCATCTATTTCGTGTGTGTGTGTGTGTGTGTGTGTGTGTGTGTGTGTGTGTGTGTGTGTGTGTGTGTGTGTGTGTGTGTGTGTGTGTGTGTGTGTGTGTGTGTCCCAGTCCTGGGTTTTATATCAGGCCTGTGCCCTGTCATTGAGTGTATTGCTCAAGGAAATAGTACTGTACCACTTGAGTCACAGCTCCACTTCCAACCTTTTGGTGGTTAATTGGAGATAAGAGACTCACATGGGGCTGGGAAGGTGGCTCAGCGGTAGAGTGCTTGCCTCGCATGCATGAGGCCCTGGGTTCGATTCCTTAGGACCACATAAACAGAAAAGGCCAGAAGTGGCACCATGGCTCAAGTGGTAGAGCGCTATCCTTGAGCTGAAGAGCTCGGACAGTGCCCAGACCTAGAATTCAAGCCCCACAATGGACAAAAAAGAGAGAGAGAGAGAGAAACTCACAGACTTCCCTGCCAGGGTTCAGTTTGAACTGTGATCCTCAGATCTCAGCTTCCTATATAGCTAGGATTACAGGAGTGAGGCACTGGAACTTGACTATTTCTTGAACATTTTCATTGTGTAGCTGCTCTAGACAACAAAATAAATTCAGGAAGCCTGAATCTATATTTGTAATTTTTTTTTTGTCAGTTGTGGGACTTGAACTCTGGGCCTGGGTTGCTGTCCCTCAGCTCTTCAGTTCAAGGCTAGTGCTCTACCACTTGAGCCACAGCGACACTTCTGGTTTTCTGAGTGGTTTATTGGAGATAAGAGTCTCATGGACTTTCCTGCCCAGTCTGGCTTTGAACCGTGATCCACAAATCTCAGCCTCCTAAGTAGCTAGGATTACAGGCATGAGCCACCAGTGCCTGGCTTATAGTTGTAAAATTCTTTTACTACCCTCTAGTTAAATATTTATTTTTATCATTTAAAAATATTGACCTTGGCCGGGCGCTGGTAGCTCACGCCTGTAATCCTAGCTACTCGGGAGGCTGAGATCTGAAGATCGCGGTTCAAAGCCAGCCCGGGCAGGAGAGACCGTGAGACTCCTATCTCCAATAAACCACCAGAAAACCGGAAGTGGTGCTGTAGCTCAAGTGGTAGAGCGCTCGCCTTGAGCTGAAGAGCTGAGGGACAGCGCCCAGGCCCAGAGTTCAAGCCCCACGACTGACAAAAAAAAAAAAAAATATTGACATTGTACCATATAGTTTTTTCATGTACTAGATGATTAGGATTCTGGAGATCTGATTACCAAAATATTTCCAATACAAAAACTATATAAAGAACTAGGTATGGTCAGTGAAGAGATCTTGATTAGCATTCACTTAGGATAGTCCAAAAGGGAAATAATGCTTCAGTAAAGAGTTGATGTCATGGTACATGAGAGGAGCATCAGTACAGAGAAGAGCTGTGTGTGAGAGCGGTCTGAGGTGAAAGTCATATTAAACAAGATTTTTCCTAAGAATCCCTGGTCTGGAGATAGCAACTGGAATATAAAGTCTAGGGTGTGTTTTACTTACAGGCCTGGGATACTTGGTTGAGCTGCTTGCCTATGTGTGTTGGGAATGGGGTGAAAGGACATTGTATAACTAGGTAGAAAGTAGCTTGGACCGTACACAGATGTTGACTGAGTCATCTTGGATGGTTGTACCTTTTCCTCTGGAGAGGATTCCTAGACCTATCCTTCAGCTTGTAAACTGAATCTGCTTTCCTTACAGCTGTCAGTTGACTAGCAACGAAATGGTCTGGGTGTTGGTTGCCATGGAAACAGCTAAAAGGCCCATTGCTATGGGAACCTACCCTGTTCTCCAGACCAGAGGTTTAGTTGCTAGAAAGAAATAGGTGTGGGAGGGGGAGAGGGGAGCGGGAAGAGCCCAGGAGCTGGTCTGCTTAGGTGCTTGAGGGTACCAAGAGAGAGTGAGCCATGTGGGAGAGTGGGCTGGCCAGCTCCACAGGTATCCTCTTCTGCTTTCTGCATGCACCTGTGCTCATTGCCCACGGTGGCCACTGAGCCCAGATATTTGTTGTTCCAGATGAGATTCTGGAGCAGACTTGGCATGTCAGTGCTGCTGCCCTCCTCTGCAGAACCTCTGATAGGTAAATTCTTGGCTGTCTCTGGCAGGCTCTTCTCTACAAATCATGTGTCCCAGATAAGCAGCCAGGAGGTGAA